GTGTGTGTGTGTGTGTGTGTGTGTGTGTGTGTGTGTAATCATCTACTTACTTTTATTTGCCAATGTGCCAAAATACTGTGGCAGAGGTATATAAAACATGATTAACACAGCAATCCTAAAGAGATCTCTCTTCCAGTTCTCAGCCTTAAGTTACTTAAGTTTTTTTGGCACATAAGTGAACTTTGTAGGATCTTGTTTCTAAGTCTAATTCATACAGAGTTGATTTTAGGAGCTTTTGGGGAGGAAAAGCTATAAAATGTGGTGATGGGGGGGGAGAAGCAGTTGGATGTTCAACTTTAAAGTAATAACAATGCTATTTTTTCCTGAGTTTAGGCTATATTTAAGAGGCAAGAACTTTTGGAGTAATAGTTCTGGTTGGTACAATAAAAGATGCATAGCAGAGAGAATACAGGCTTCTGCAAAATTCCATGTGTTTAATAAAAACAGGGTATAAGTGAGATTATCAGGTCACTTTCCTCAAAAGACATGAGAAAGGGTACCGTGGTACCTTAAAGCTTGTCTATGTCCTTTCCAGCTATACAGTTGGTCCAATAAAAGATATCATGGACAACAATTTTTACCTTTCACATTTTTCCTGGTCCATCAAAGCTACTTCAGCCCAATACTACCAAAACATGGAGAATGTATTTAATGCTTTCTAGATTCTTGGCTAAGTTTGATTATATTTATGGTAAGGCTACTAAGAAAAGTTTTTTCTTTACCTTCATGATGTCACCATTTTGGTACAGTTTTCCTTGCTTGCCTCTGAAAGTGAAACAGTAGGAAGAAATTTCTTCCTTTTCATTTTACCTAGGGCTGTTCATGAAATATTTTTCTTTTTTCTTTTATAATTAATGCTTTCTCTTTGCTAGGGGAAAAAGAGAAAAGTTTGTGTGAACACCAAGTATTGATTTTTTTCTATCATTTCTGGAATTGCCTGATTCTCTTTTGGTGGGTTTGACAGCTGGTTTGGTTACTGAAATTTTGGTTTAACTTTTCCAAATAACTGGGAGATAAAACTATTTTTATCAACCTGAAAATAAAAGATTGGATCCATGTGGGAGCATGCTTGCTGTGCAGGCAATTTAATATAGGTGATTACAGATGATGTGCTTGATTAAAACATTTACTAGAAAATACCACACACACAGGGGTACAGCAGATCTTTCTGGCAGTTTTTGCAAAGATGAAAGTCTGACTACAAGTAGGGAATTGCACTCCGCACAACAGCATGTAGATACTCAACCACCAGTG